CTTGAACAAGGTATGGCCGTGAGGGAGCGAAGAGAGGGAAGGAGTGTTTCTTTTTGATGTCGTTGAATGCAATTGGCTTCTTATAGAACTCGTTGTTTGGCAAAGGCACTTACCTCTCGACCGAGCTGAACGTGAGCCTGTTGTGGAGCCCGTTCAGCGCCGCTTCTTCTCTCGTCGACGTACCGTGGTCGACGCTGAGCTGCGTGGCGTTGTGCAGGGTAATCGCCGATGACCACGGCGTCAAGGTGGGCTGCAACACGGATGCGTGCTGTTCGGCCAGCGACGAGGTGATTCGCAGGCGCCACATCCCACAGACATACATCATCGTGCAGAACAACGACCTGGTGCGCGTTACGCATTTGCTTGTGTACTGGACGACGAAATCGTCGCCTAAGCCGGAATATATTTTCTCGTAAGCGAATATACTGAACACTTTCCTTCATAAATCGCATATTTAAACAAGTACCTGTAGTGTTCGAACAGCAAATACCATATCTCCAGAGGAAGAATTTCAGGAATCCATTGGTAGTGAACTAAAATTTATATTTTTATGGAAATGTTCATAGTTGTTTAAACTGTTTAGTACGAAATCAAGGAGTGGGCAACCTATGAATTCGGAGCACGTACCTTAACGATCTTAAATTTTACGGTACTGAAACACCCGTGTGATAGGACGGTCTTGGTGTCTGGAGTAATCGTCCCCTCCCCTCCTTAGTTCAGGCAATGGACTAAATTGTACAAGTTTCATGATTTGGCTGCGCTGACAAAGGTGAAAAATGAACAAACTAAGGTAGACCAAAAACCGTGACATATGAAGAACACTGGAAATGTTTCATTCTCAGTTTCGACGGCCGCTTATCCTGTCGGATGACGGTGACAGCAACGTCAGCCAGTCTCCAGCGTTCGCACTAACATGTGAACCTTGGCAGAAAAAGCAAGTGAAGTCCGAAGCAGAGTTTGTCGAGATACTTGCCACTGGTCATTATTCTCCTTTCCCCAGGGTCGGCGATCTTTCTGTAACAAGAAAACAGGAAACACAATGCTTGTCACATAACTGTTGTTGACTCTGCCTTTAAAGTTGGGTACTAAGTTCACAATGGCCTGCAAAATGAAATCAACGGCCTGTCGTTAACTTGATAAAAAGGCGCAAGAAACTGATTCATTCATCATGAGTGTGAGAAAAACCCGTTTCACCGGTTACAGACTTGCCTTTGTTCCTTTCTCCGGTCTGTGAAACACGTGTAAACCCAATGGACTAGCACCCACGATTGTTCATTAATCTAGGTATGGCGAAGATCTGGTCAGAGGTGCTTCGACCTGTCCGGAAGCCACGGTTCTCTTCCTGGATCTTTAAGTCAGTTATTCCGCGTCTTTTCTATTTCAACACCATTGCCTGGAATTTCCCCAGAAGGCTCAATAGATTAGTGCTGTGATAATCGGCGCGTTCCTGTGATCTCGCTTCCTTAACACGGGTACTACCACCTCAGCTCTCCATTCCACTGTTATCTTCCCCGCACTCATTGCAGTTTGACAGACACGTGCTGGCCACAACATGCTTTTTGGCGCTAATGCTTTAAGCATTTCAGGACGGGTATCATCTCTTCCAGCAGCCTTGCCACCTTTTAAGCTTTGTTCAGCTTCTCTGACTTCATCTATTGAAAGATTAATATCTGTTCCTTAATGCTCTTCATGCACGTCCTTGCGCTTGTTCAGGCTTGACAAGTTCTTCAAAGTACTCTCGCCGCTGCTACATAATGTTTCTTTTTAGTGAGAAGGCGTCCAGATTTGTCCATTAGGACTTTAACTGTTCTTTCTTCATCTTGAAGGTTTAGGTAGTCGCCGTGTGAGATACTGTATTTATTTTTGATGAGATATATGACGAACCACGTCTCGTATTAAACTTGATGGAGAGCTGTCTTAGTTGTTGCCCGTTAACTGTGGCATGCGCCTTTAAGATGTACTCATGTCTGTCCTATTTAACGTCGTTTTGACTCTCACCTATAA